GTTCAAAGGTCGATACGCTACTTACTTGGTTTCGAACCCCTTTTTCCTCCTTGAATGTACGTTTAATAGTACTTCAACACAATTCCTTCCTATTAGACCTATATTTTATCAATTTCAACATAAATATAGATCAATTTTGATAGGACAGGTCAAAAGGAGTCGAACGGGACAAACCGGGAGCCAAAATACCTTCTCACGCGCCCTCACGCGCCAATGCAAGGTCGGAGGTTTGCTTTCTCACGCGCCGATCCGCGCACAGTCGCACCTCCACTCGCAGCCTTCCCACGCGCCTCGCGTGTCCTTCACGCGCTCGTCTTCAACCTCTCCTCCCTGAAATTTTTCCCAATCTTTTCCTTTAATACCCGTTGTGTCCCGAAGCAAAAATTCCATTTCTACAGCTCGAATTTCGTTCTGATTTCTTCTACAACTTAATAGATCTTCTAACTACGGTTCTAACCAGCCTTATCTCATAACTTATTATGCAGTATAACTCAAGATATCGAAATTTAAAGGTTCGGTGATGTGGGTTTTTTTCGTTACCTTCGAATTACCGTCCGCTTCAGCTCGGGGCCGTATCCTTTCCTCAAAATATTCCTCAGCAACAACTCCTCTTCCTTTACCCTCGATTGATGTCCAATTTTAAGCAACCAAAACTCGAATTCTCAGAAAGTTTCCTCCTCTGTTTTCTGGGTTTTTTTCGCTAATCACTATTCTTTGTTTTTCTTCCTTTTTAAAAACCTAATACAGCCCTAATACACTTCCACATCCTCTATCCTCCTCTCTTTTCTTTCTTTTCCCTTCACACCTGTCCATTCTTCCTTTCTCCATGGCAGCAGCTTCAAGCTGCTGCTGTCTTCTTCTTCTTTTCTTTTCTTTTCTTTTTTTTTATTTTTATTATTATTATTATTATTATTATTATTATTATTATTTATTTATTTATTTTTATTTTTATTTAATTAATTTATTAATTTATTAATTTATTTATTATTTTCGGGTTATTACATTATGACCTATATATATTTTAAGATAAATTAGACTAGATTTGGAATTACCCATTATCGAAATTACAGTTGGGAGGGCAATGGGGCATTACTGGCAGGGGCGAAGGCCAATACGAAGGCCGGATTTCGGGCCCAATGATTGGTACAAACGGGCTTCCTCATGGTCCCAATCTCATCTATCGAAAGCTCCCGGCAAAGCGGGCAAAGCAACGACCTCAGCGGCAGCCACTGATCAATGCAACCTTTATGGAACGCATGCTTACAGTTGGGCAGAACACGAAGCTCATCTCCAAGCTCGAACTCCGCCAAGCATATGACACAGTTCCTGGCCTCAAAGGACGACGACGACGTAAAACAATAAGGCGCCGAGTCGCCATATATGTATACAGGCATGCTACTGAGCTGCCTGCTACATGTCGACGAGGGTGGCTTAGAGGACGCCGAGGTCAGCTGACGCCGAAAGCAAGTGAAGAGGGAGATGAACAAAGAGAGCACGAAGGCAGCCGCGATGGCCGAAACGACGCATATGGTAACCAGTCTTTCATGGTGTCCAAATGGACGTTGGAGTAAGGAATCTTTAAGAAGGCGCCTGTAGGTGTAGCCGGGAGCTTGCGCTGAGTTCATGGTGAGGAGATTATTTTGTTAAGGAATGAAGCTCACCAAGGTATGCTGCAACTTTGTTGGAAGATCTTAGGAGGGATAGATATTGGAAACAAGTAGGATATAGTTGGATCATGATTCAACCGATCTAGCTTTACACTTTTAACCAAAAAGTTTGAAAAAATTGAAGTGGGTTCTAGTTCATCTTGCCATTAAGGAAAAGAAATCATAATTTTATGTACACAATGGATGCCTAGCGACTCAGCATCCATGTAGAGATACTAAATTCAATACTGGGGAAAGTGGAAGACGACGAATGGCCACATCTTCGTTTTTCTGTACTTGAGACTTACGACGTCCCAACCCATGTGTTGGAAGTTGGATTATGCACCTGCTACATGAAATGTATGTCAAAAATGATTTAGTATGGATACGAGAGAGTCCAATGTCCCAAGAGAACTCAGATGGATAGATGTTTAGGATGTCTTGATATGACTGACACATGAGTTAGTTCTCAATAAATGTGTTTGAGCAAGTCAAGATGACTGACCTGTCTTGAGACATAGAATGACATAACGATTCATGAGTGGTGTTGTTAGAAGTCAAGATGATGATGAGATGGTATGTTGCACATGAGATACCTTACCCTCGAATAAAGACTAAGTTCCTAAACTTATTTAAAATATTTTAAAATTGTAAGTTTATAATTTTACAGTATTCACAATAATTAAAGAAAAAAGAAAAGAAAAGAGGGTGTACAGGATTTGAATACTAACGGGAGCACTGAAAAAGTTCCCTCTTGTTATCATCCAGATTGGTTCGGGCGCGGGGCGTCCACGTGGTCGTGGCTCGTGGAGTTCACGATTTGGTGCTGGATTTTTCCTTTTGCCTTCCCTCTCAAATTCATCTTTCCGGCGCTGAATTTTCACCCGCAGATTGCCTTCTCCTCTTCGTTTTCCTGATTTTCCCTTTCGCTTTCTTCTCTGTTGGAGGTGGATTCACAGGAACTGAACTCTGAGATTTACTCGTCCCTTTGCTCTGTTCAAAGACCCTTTCGAGGTCGTCATGGAGCACTGGAAAACGGGGGATTTCTCCTCTCAATCTATTGTAGCAGCAGCTGATTTAGTTCCTTCCTCGTCTCTTCAGCCTCAGCCGCTCTCTTTGTCCTCGAGTCGCCACCATAACAACCAGCTTCCTGAATCCAGGTTTGTGATGGATTGTGGATTTTGATTAACACTAAGCTTGTATCCTGTTTCGAATCTGGAATAAAAGAATTTTCGATGGTTTTATTGGCTGAATTAAATTCTTATTTTCATATATTATACTGTGAAACTTGATAGTCGATCCTCCTTGGGATAAGGTTGAGTGTTTTTATTGACCTAGTCTTGTTGAATCCAGTCCAGAAACTCTCAGCGGTTTCTCATCTTTAGGTCGTCTTGTTGTTTAGGGGATATCGGTTTATTATTTTGATATCATATCTTTGAGTTGTATTGTACTTCTGAGAACGATACCTCACAATTCAGTTCGCGCGTCTCAAAATATGAATTATGAGGAACCTTGGCTGGACATTCTAATTCGTCAAATTTACCACTAATAAGCACTGCTTAGTTACTAAGTCTGTTGTGTCACTATTTCCTTGTTTTGTTCGTTCACCTTTTTAAGAAATGCTTTTGAATTTAGCCAAAGTTTTCAGAAGTTGACATAGATTAGAAAGCAAAACAAAGAATAGTGTATATAAGTTCAAAAACAAAGAACAATGTTAGTCAATTGGAAAGATCTTAAGGAACAGATTATATGGATCCAATAACTTGACTGTTTCAAATTTTAACAAAGGGATCGTTTTGGAAGGCTGTCATTTAAATGAAGAAAGGGATGCATGTGAAATCCCACATTTGTTGGAGTGGGGAATGAAGAATCCGACCATAGTGGACGCGTTTTAAAACCTTGAGGAAAAACATGGAAGGGAAAGTCCAAAGAGGACAATATCTGCTAGCGGTGGGATTGGGCTGTTACAAATGGCATTAGAGTCAGAAACCGAACGGTGTGCCAATGAGAATGTTGAGCTCTCAAGGGGGGTGGATTGTGAGATCCCATCTGTTGGAGTGGGAAAGGAAGCATTCCTTATAAGGGTGTGAAAACTTCTTCCTAATGGACGCTTTTTAAAACCTTGAGGGGAAGTCCAGACGACAATATTTGCTAGCGATGGGCTTGGGCTGTTACAATGCATTCCTTGTAAATGTCATGGACTAATTGAACGAACATGAACCGAATGCATATTAGGATTCGTTTGCTGAAGGACATGTTTCAGTCTTCATATTGTAGGATTTTGACACTCTTCTGAAGTCTCAGTCATGGTTTTCATCGCACTCACTTTTGTTCCTTTTTTCTTTTCGGTATTCCTCAGGTTAAGAACAGATGCAGAAGTAAAGGATCCAATGGCAGTGAAAAAAACCCAAAAGGCAGATCGTGAAAAATTGAGAAGAGACAGACTGAATGAACATTTTCATGAGCTTGGAAACACATTGGGTAAAGTTAAAGTATAGGAAGCCTATGACTTCTTTTTTCATCCGTTCTCATTGTTATACTAAAATATCGCCTGAAAATTACTCAAGAAATGGTTTACTGTTTCCCCTGATAAATTGATAGCCTAGAAGGGCATGTCTTGATGTGTTTCTCCACACTCTTTTACCTAGGAATGAATGCATTGATTTTCAACATCCAAAGAGTTCTTGTTCTCGCTCTTCATTCAACTCAATTCGTATATTTCTTCTCTTGGCAACGCCCTACTTTGTGGATTGCAGTACGACGATAACTAATACATGTGTGTACGTGCCCTTTTCTTATATCATCATATAAAGTCGTAGGGCTGGCTTATACTTCATCATGATGCTGTGGACTTCTCTGGCTGTGTTATTTTGTTTGAGTGGCTCATGTGGGATTTTTTGTGTCTGGCTTGAAGTGACATCGTTGCTATTCATTTTATTGCAGATCCAGTTAGGCCCAAAAATGACAAGGCCACCATCCTAACAGACACCATCCAAACGCTGAAGGAGTTAACTGCCGAAGTCAATAGATTAAAGGCCGACTACGAAGGTCTTTCTGAAGAATCACGTGAGGTTAGTATCTAATTCTTTTACAAATTTTCAATTTCATAAGGTTAGGAGCCCTTTAGGCTTGATATGCTCATCTCATCTGGTATTCCACAGCTAACCCAGGAAAAGAATGAACTTAGAGATGAGAAAGCTTCACTAAAATCAGATATTGAAAATATAAATGCTCAGTATCAGCAAAGACTGAGGGTCATGTTTCCCTGGGCCACAATGGATCCTTCTGAGGTCATGGTGCCCCCATATTCCTACCCAGTTCCTGTATCCGTTTCCGTTCCCCCAGGACCGATTCCCATGCATCCGTCATTGCAGCCCTTCACCTTCTTTGGAAATCAGAATCCCGGTGCTATTCCCAACCCCTGTTCCACATTTGTCCCATATACTGCTGCTGTCCATCCTCCAAATGGTCAGCCCTCTGCCCAATATGCTTCCAATTCACATATATCTAGCAAACAAGACTCCAGAAGTAGGTCATCAGATCAGCACAGGCGCAGTAATGCTGGAAGCTGCGACGAATCGAACGATGTAGCAACAGACCTTGAACTTAAGATGCCTGGATCTTCAACACAACAGGTGAGTTTATTGCTTTTAGAGCTCACACAAATATTTGTAGATCAAATAAGAACACAATTGAGTATCTTTTTCAGGATGCATCCTCTAGAAGTAAGAAAGGTAAGCAGTCTCAGAGGAAAGAAAAAAGTATTACAGATTGTAGTTCGTCGAGTCGGGTTTCTTCATCCAAAGTTCTTCAAGATAGCTCCTCTAACAGCATTGGCGATATCCCGAAACAGAACAACTAAATTCAAAGTTACTAACTTCATCAAAGTGATTAAATTCAAGGAAGCCTCTTCCTTCACCAACCAAATATTGAGTTCAGGAATTTAGATTCGGAAGCGCCTACATAAAAAATGTGAGCAATCATTCCTCATTCAGTGATTACTTTGTCTTACCTATCAACCAT